AGCATCCACAATGTGTGTCTGCCCTTGAGACATTTCAAGCGCAGATGGTGTGTGGAAGAGGTAGGTGTGTGGTTTCTCAGTTATGCCATATGGCTTTATTCGAGAAAAAACTTAAGTCGTTTGACTTCTGCTCAAAAGGGCTAATGTCCTTTCTTTACTGTCCTTTTTCTGTCCAAAGTGTAGGCTGATTTTGTGGCTTCAGATTAATAAGCCGATGTCTCATTCGGTTCCTAAACTGGATAGCTACCAAATTTAAAAAAAAAAAAACCTTAAAAATTGTTATGACTGTACCCCCGCAGGGCTGTGTTACTCATGAATGCCCACACCTTTCCATATGGTGGACCGATTCCTTTCCAGTGGCTGGTGTCGTACATCTATTCAATGTTAATAACATGCATATGTCTTCTGCCTTCAGGATGAACTGTTTGTTTTGCCTGGCATCTTCCCCCCCCCTTCCTCTTACTCCTTTCGTTAGGTGCTGGATAAATAGTAAAGAAAGCAGCTAGCTGTGCCCAGAGGACTTAATGGCTGGACTGGATGATCTTAAAGGTCTTTTCCAACCTAAACGATTCTGTGATTCTATGATTCTATGATTCTGTGACTTTTTGTGAGTAGCCACGTGTGCAGCTTGCATCCTTTTTCGTGGGTGGGAATCCATTCACTTCACTTCCAAAACTTAATAGGAAGAAAGATGGACCCTTTGACGTAGATGACAAGGGCAACTAAAATATATGATGTGGGTTGTTTCGTTTCGAGTTTTTGCTTATTCTGTACGCGGTAGCTGGTAAATTCCTGTCCTGAAAACCAGCACTCCAGAGCACTTTATAATGGTACTGGGAACTGTTTTTAAAAAGTATGCTGTAAATTTCAAGAGATTCAAATGCCTGTGTGACTGTTAACTGTTTCCTGTTGTCCTGCCTCTCAGTATGTTCAAAACATTAAGGAAAACATTGAGCCAGTAGTGTGGCCAAGTGGCCAAGAAGGCCAACAGCATCCTGGCTTGTATCGGGAATAGTGTGGCCAGCAGGAGCAGGGAGGTGATCGTCCCCCTGTACTCGACGCCGGTGAGGCTGCACCTGGAATCCTGTGTCCAGTTTTGGGCCCCTCACTCCAAGAAGGACATTGAGGTGCTGGAGCGTGTCCAGCGAAGGGCAACGGAGCTGGGGAAGGGTCTGGAGCACAGGGCTGGTGGGGAGCGGCTGAGGGAGCTGGGGGTGTTCAGCCTGGAGAAGAGGAGGCTGAGGGGAGACCTGATCGCTCTCTACAACTCCGACAGGAGGTTGTAGTGAGGTGGGTGTTGGTCTCTTCTCCCAAGTAGTTAGGGATAGGACAAGAGGAAATGGGCTCAAGCTGCGCCAGGGGAGATTTAGATTAGATATTAGGAAAAATTTCTTCATGGAAAGGGTAGTCAAGCATTGGACCAGGCTGCCCAGAGAGGTTGTGGAGTCACCATCCCTGGAAGCGTTCAAAAACCGGGCAGAGGTGGCACTTTGGGACATGGTTTAGAGGGCATGGAGGTGTTGGGTTGATGGTTGGGCTGGTGATCTTACAGATCCTTTCCAATCTTAATGATTCCTAGTTTTTACTTTCATTATAAATGATCCAGCCACCAACCCAGGAAACATGGAATTGCTACTCTCCCCTTAATTGGTTTAGTGGTGGAGTTGGCAGTGTCAGGTTAATGGTTGGACTGGATGATCTTAAAGGTCTTTTCCAACCTAAAGGATTCTATGATTCTACGAAAAGCTAAGATTCCCTGAAGGTACCTCTCAGCTGGCGTGCTGAGCAAAACCCATGTTTGTGTAAAACAAAATATGTAAAGTGGTGTGAAAGCATCACTGCAGGTCAGACTATTTCTGCTTTCTGTCTTTTAGAGCTGGAAGCTGGTGCGAATGCTTTGCAAGCTCTGGAAATGTTCATATAGTTATGTTGGACTCTGTAAAGACCAGAAGACATTGGTAGGGTCGTGACTGTGGTTGAAAGCAGTCTCATTATGTCGCATCCAAGCAGTTCAGGTGAAGAGGGTCCCACGTTCCTTGAGGTTTGCTCTTTATCAGCACCATATCGTGAAGCAGGAACAGGACTTTCGTATCGTGTGGTACTGTGAGTGGTTAGGGAAGGTCACTACTGAAAAACTGCTTGTGTCAAGTTTGGAGCACTAAACCTCTCTCCCTTTCCTGCCACAACCCTACGTACATCCCAGCACTGCCGCGTTTTAAGACGTCAGATAAACTGTAGAGAGCGCCACAGAAGATCAGCCTTTAAGCAGAAATACGTTTTCAGCTTTAACTATACGATGATGTCTGATATTGTTAGGTTTCCCAACTGAGCATATACGCAGGCTGGCCAACCGTAGTCCTTTGGGTGGTGATAAACTGCTTTCACAACAAGGGAGCCCAAATAACTGAACGTCTTGCGTCACGTCTGAAGCACAGGGGCAGATGGAGGGTACGTTCCCATGGGCTGACCCCCTGTCAGGTCTGCTAGTGTTGGCAACTATGAATATGTGAAAAGTGATTGTTAAAAGCTGCTGAAACAATAGCTTCTTTATGTTAAAAAAAAAAAAAAATTAAACAAAATCTCGCTGGCTGTGTGCAACATCCACTCTGCTTTTGGTGCAGCTATTCTGCTATAATAACCAGTTGCTTCAGCAAATCCTTTTACCATGTGCTTACATTCTCGTCAGAATGCTCAGGTTTATTTAGCACGTACTAATTGCACCCAGGTTTAGTGTGCTGTTGACCTTTAATGCTCTGCTGAATCATGGGCTGCGTTTGCACCACTGTCTCTGTCTTTTGTGGGATGTAACTCCATGCACTAGAAAAAGCTTGGAGGAAGTGGTACTTAAGAGATCACATCAGATGCTTCAAACGGGAGGAAAGCAAATGCTACCAAACAAAGGCATGTTTGATCCAGGACTGGGAAAAAAGCTTTAAAAGCCTTTCTAGATTTCTGCCTGACCTCTGGCTCAGGTATTCTTCATATAGTTGAAATTTGAGAAGTGCTCAGAGCCTATGAATAGTGTCATAGATGGTTATTTTATACTTGTGGTGTTTTCCAGAAATAATTTTCTAAAGAATTGTACCGGTATTGAACTGTTAATTTTGGAGTAATAACTGCTAATGCTGGGTTGCTCACCCATTGTGTTTGGAACTCCCCTTGGCCTGGTATTTAAAAAATAAACAAAGTTATTTTAAACTTCAGCAGAATTGTAGAAGCAATTGTGTCAAGTCTGAGTGTCCCCTGTTGCTCTCTTTGTTTGTGGTATAGGAAGGGGGAACCCTTTTGATCATCTCAGTAATCAGATACCAGTAATTCTCTGAAGCCCAGTTCAGCAAGCCTGCCTCATATTAACTTCCATATCCTGAAAACAGCTAAGTTATTTGAGAGCCACCTACACAGCTCTCAATTACATTTGTTTCTGATGATGTGTCTCGGTGGCTTAACCATAGTACCATACTGTGTATTGGAATTAGTAAAACAAGAGTGTTTCAAACCTAATTCTACATATAAAAGAAGGGTGAGTCTCGTTCATCCATATGCTCCTTTAACAGCTGCTTTTTTGGGTTCCAAAAAAAGGGGACCAGGCTCCCTGGAGAGAGCGCCCCGCAGAAAACATCCTGCTGCCAGCCCTACCAAACCAATTCTGGTGATTGCCGCAGATCAGCTCCAGGTACAACTGCTGCGGGCTCTCGTGAAACTGCGACGTACAGCGATGGGCTTTTTGTTCTTGTTAGCCTGGCCTTAGAAACCAAGGGCTTGGGGGTTGTGTGAGTGGGGAATTGCGTCGTCCCCCCCCCCCCCCCCCCCCAAG